CTCCCTCCTGCCGGGGCGCGGCGGCTGCTCCCGGGTCCGGGCGTCGCCATGACCAACGAGCTGGATATCTTCGTAGGGAACACGACCCTCATCGACGAGGACGTGTATCGCCTCTGGCTGGATGGTTACTCGGGTCTGTGAGGGGCCGAGCGGTCGTTTGGCTGGGCGAAGGGGCGGAGCCTGCACTTGGCCGTCTTTAAACGGGCGGAGGCGGGAGGGAGGTTTGCAGGTCGGAGCTGGAATCCCTGCAGGGGCTTTGCGGGCGGGGCGGGGCCTGATGCCGGTGCCTGCTCCCCAGTGAACGATGCGGTGGCCCTGAGGGTGCGCTCGGGAATCCTGGAGCAGACGGGCGCCACGGCAGCAGTCCTGCAGAGTGACACCATGGATCATTATCGGACCTTCCACATGCTGGAGCGCCTGCTGCACGCACCGCCCAAGCTGCTGCACCAGCTCATCTTCCAGATCCCGCCCTCCCGACAAGCGCTGCTCATTGAGAGGTGGGGATGCCAGCCACTCTGGCCATGTACCCATTTTGCAGACTGTAACTGAGGCCCAGGAAGGGACGGGACTCACCCGGGCCCTGAAGAAGTGGAGAGCACAAGGGGCCAAGCCCAGGCTCTGCCAGCCCCCCCTTTCCCCTCCTTTAGGGGAAGTTAGTAGTGTCCTCTGCCTCCACGCAGGTACTATGCCTTTGATGAGGCCTTTGTGCGCGAGGTCCTGGGCAAGAAGCTGTCCAAGGGCACCAAGAAAGACCTGGATGACATCAGCACCAAAACCGGCATTACCCTTAAAAGCTGCCGAAGACAGGTGGGCACTGTAGCCTCCTCCTCACCAACACAACATTCCATCGACAGTCCACCCCTGTGGCCACTATCCCAACTCCAGCCTCCTCCACTTCTGACTGTGGCAGCAGCTTCAGACCCAGTCTCCTCTCCCCTGTTTTTGTCATCTCACAGCAATCCCTGCTCTTCAGCCAGAGTGACCTTTCAGAATCCCAGATCTGGCCATAGCTTTCTTTGGCCCATAAACTTTCATTGGCTCCTACTCCCTTCTGGGTAGTAGCCACACGCTCTGGCCTTGCCCTTCATCCTCTCCTGTGAGCTGGTCCCTGCCAGCCTCCTTAGGCTTGCATTTCCCCAGAGTCCAGCTTTCTTTTGCTCGCGCTGCCCCTACCTGGAGGCTACAGTTCTTGGCCGTGTCTACTTGAAATCCAAGCTTCTGCACAAGCTTCCTGGTGGTGCCAAGGAGAAGTCACTCTTCTTCTGGAACTTCAGTATCTTTGCTCTGCGTCTCCTGTGAACTCCCTGTATACAGCTTAGCTCATTTTTACTTTCTGAGCCTTCGGAGGGTCAGTCCCAGCGCCAGCTGGAGAAGAGCTGGAGAGCGTGGTGCTAAAAAGTAGGAGTGAATTCAGTGGTGGGAGCTGAGTAAACGTTGATCTGAGATGGCAAACGCTAATAGGCATTTGTTGAATTGATAACTTACTGAAGGAATAACAGATCAGCATCTGTTGACAGAATAGATAGATAGGTGAGGGATGGTGTTCAGTAAACGATTTATTGGGTGAGCGACCTCTGACCAGTCCTTGCTCCCCTACCTTCCCTGCAGTTTGACAACTTTAAACGAGTCTTCAAGGTGGTGGAGGAAATGCGGGGCTCCCTGGTCGATAACATCCAGCAGCACTTCCTTCTCTCCGATCGGCTGGCCAGGTGAGCAACCGGGCGAGGAGCCGTCTATCTCCCCCATCGGCACAGTCCTTCCCTGGGCCCCGAGTCTGGTCCCCCAACTTGACCTCTTGGCTGTGTGGGGGGATGGTTATCTCATTCCTGGTCTGTAAATTGGATCAGGCTGGCCTGGGTTCAAATCCCAAGCCGGCCATTCACCAATTGGACTGTTGAGGTGTCACCTGTAAAACGTATGGCACAGCTCCGGAGCTCGGGAAGTGCTCGGTAAATGGTAACTGTTACCCCTGTGGTCTCCTGCTACATCCCTTAGGAGACCTGGTTTGAAACCTTTTCACAGACGAGGAGGCCCAGAGAGAGGTGACTTGAAACATGTCACACAGTGAGGTAGGGCGAGAGAGGCCAGAGCTCAGATGCCTAGTAGATGTTGCAGGTGGGAACTGCTTGCTCAGAAGGAATGCCCAGCTCTGACAGGTCTCCTTTCCCCTCCCTGCAGAGACTATGCAGCCATCGTCTTTTTTGCCAACAACCGCTTTGAGACAGGGAAGAAAAAGCTGCAGTATCTGAGCTTTGGCGACTTTGCTTTCTGTGCTGAGCTCATGATCCAGAACTGGACCCTTGGAGCCGTCGGTGAGGCCCCCACTGACCCAGGTGCCTGGACACCTCCCCACCCTCTCAGGGCCTGCTACCCCACCAGCACTTTCTCCTGCAGGCCCCTAGCTCCCAGCATCCTTTCTTCTTCAGGGCCCCTCCCCAGCCATCTCTGCTCATAGTCCACTGTCCCCATGCACACCTTGTCTGCAGACAAAGGGCCCACTACTTCTCTGTGGTCCGGGGCAAAGCATTCCACCTCCCTGACACTCTGTCTTCTCTTCTGTCTTATGTGGGTGCGATGTGGTGGGTGAGGAAGGCTTGGGTTATCACACAGGAAGGCATTTTGTCGTGCCCTCGCCCCCCAACTCCCTTCCTGGGCCTTACTCAGACTCCCAGGTGGATGACATGGATGTGGACTTAGACAAAGAGTTTCTCCAGGACTTGAAGGAGCTCAAAGTGCTGGTGGCTGACAAGGACCTTCTGGATCTGCATAAGAGGTGACTCTGGGGGGATGTCTGTGGGGTGGGGCCTGAAGTGGGGGGCCCAGGCAGCTCTAGGCTTGACCTCGTCTTCCTGCAGCCTGGTGTGCACTGCCCTCCGGGGAAAGCTCGGTGTCTTTTCTGAGATGGAAGCCAACTTCAAGGTCTGTGGCCCAAGCCAGCCTATGTCCCTTGGGTATCTCCAGCCTCCAGTGCACTGTCCCACCGGGTGACTCTGTTCATGCCCTAGGTTGACCAGCAGGTGGCGCTGTCGCTCCCTCTGCCCACCTGTGCTGGGGGAGCCAGCTCCGAACATTGGGGAGTTGATTGAGGGAGGTGGATAGATGTGGAGAGGGGCCTGCCCCTCCCCTAGCCTCTGGGGCAGAAGGCAGAACTCCCAGGCCCCCTGCCCCACAGAACCTGTCCCGGGGGCTGGTGAATGTGGCTGCCAAGCTGACCCACAACAAGGACGTCCGAGATCTGTTTGTGGACCTGGTGGAGAAGGTGAGCTGTCCTGCCCACTGTCCACTTGTCCCCGCCCTGGCCTGTCTGAGCTGTACCAGTGCCAGATGTTCCCTTGGGCCCACAGTTCGTGGAGCCCTGCCGCTCTGACCACTGGGCGTTGAATGATGTGCGGCTGTTCTTGAACCAGTATTCGGCGTCGGTCCACTCGCTGGATGGCTTCCGGTGAGTTACCCCGGCCTCCTGTTCAGCGTGGCCTCGCCCCAGCCAGCCTCCTGCCAGGGCCCGGCCTCCCTGCAGACTCAAGGTTCCGTGTTCTGCTGCCCTGGGGTGACTGTCTTTGTGGACCAGAGTCCTGGCTTCACCTCTAAGAAGCTGTGACTTAACCTTGGGCAGGCTCCTTGATCTCTCCATGCCTCAGTTTCCTCACATGTAAGCTGGGGGTGATAATGGTGAAGGTCATAGAATATTGTGAGGATTAAAGAGTGAAGGTACATCGAGCACTTAGAGCAGGGCCGTGACACGGTGGGTTGTGGTAAACCTCGGCCGTTACTGTTACCGTTATCATTGCAGGCACCAGGCCCTCTGGGACCGCTACATGGGCACCCTCCGTGGCTGCCTCCTGCGCCTCTATCATGACTAAGGCCCCTCCCACCACTCTACTCACGCTGACAATAAAGTTGCCATGACTTTGGAGGAGCCTGTGCCTGGGTAAACACAGGGTCCGTGTGTGGAGGTGTATACGCGCATGTGTCTAAGCGTCATGGTGCATGAGGACCTGTGTGTACACTGGCCCTGCAGGGACTAGGCTGTGTTCAGGAATGATGTCTATGCTCTCCCTCTCCATTTCCCCACACAGCGGAGTCCACTGAGAGTACAGAATCTTGTCTTTGTTTATTCAACGCATAGCAAGAGGGTTGGGAGGACAGGAGAAGACTTTGGGGGTGGCCAGCAAGGACGCAGCAGGCATAGCAGGCGAGAGCGAGGGGCGGGCTCAGGGAGGGCAGGAGACCTTCTTAGCTGGTTTATCCACTCGGGCAGTAATCGGGTACTTGGTGATACCACAGGCATTGCTCCCTCGGTGCAGCCGGAAATAACCCTAGGAAGTCAGAGGACATCAGGGCAGGGCCAGAAGGCGGGGAGAGCCCTGCCCTGTCCTGTCCCAATATCACACTCACCTTCTCACCCCAGTTGGCCCCCCAGGAGTTCTTCAGGATCCAGTATGGGGTGGAGCGACGACGAGAATGGCCTGGGACGCCCTTTGCCTGCCTCCCCTCCACCGACTTGGTCTTACCAAAACCCACCAGCAGGACAACATGGTCCACATTTTGAGGGTCACAGGTGGTTTGTGTGGCCTTGATCACACCATTCTGGTATTGCTGCAGGGGCAGGGGCAGAGGGGCTGAGTCTGGGGCCACATCCCCTATATGTTCTTCCCCCCATTCTCTTCCCTATCGCACCTGCAATAGCTTCTTGTTGATGGTCACAGTGATGGGGCCCTCAGTGGCCAGGTACCAGGCAATTCCTGGGGGTAGAGGTGCCATCAGGCCATGCCTGCTCTGTTTCCCCTGCTCTCAGCTCATGGTTGTCTCCATTCTCTCCCTCCCACCCCCATTCCTCCATCTCTGTCTATAGCCCCATCTGTCTGCCTGTCCTGGTTTGTCTATCCCTGTCATCCCTCCTCCCCCCGCACATCCGCCTGGGTCTCCACCCTGCCCGCACTCTGCTCGTTGTCCGACAGCATGATGAAATCCTGGATCCAGGCCACCTTTTTGTGCTTCTTAGCCTGGCACTTGGCTCTGACCGCCCCCTGGAATGGGTAGTCCTTTTCGCTAGCCAGGCCACCTGGAAATAAGCAAGGCCAGGAGACTCAGCCCCAGAACATGCCTGCCCTCAGCCCCCCAGAGAGGCCGGCACTCACTGTTGTTGAGGACAGTTATGAATGCGTCCCAGACGAAGCCGCCACTGCAGCCATCCCCACAGCGGCCACAGTCGAGTAGTTCTGGTGCAAGAAGGGACAATGTGGGTGACTGATCCCCAGGCCCCCTGCCCCCATTGGCACACATGCCCCCTCTCCCAGCTGTACCCTGCACAGAGACTTCCACAGACTGTCTGGTCTTAATGCCCCACTGGGCTTCGATGTTGCCTGCAGCCGCCATGGCCCAGCAGCACGAGCAGGTTTTCTAGTGGGGAAAGGAGTGGGGGCTGGTAAGGGATCTGGGCTTTAAACCCTCTCCTCTCCTCTCCCTCCCACCATTGGGGCTGGACCGCGCCAGGCTGGGTGAGCAGATACCTGGTCCTTGACAGGTGACATGACACCGGGCGCCTTCCGCCAGTCACACGTGGAGGGCACTGACTCCTGCCACTCATCAGATCCTACCTCTCTGTCCACATTGGGGGCCCTTCCAGCTGCCCTCTGATTCCCATACAGCTGGTCAAACTCCTCCTCTGGGGGACAGATGGGACCACCACGATCACAATATTGACCCCTCCTCCCCATATTCTGCTTCTCTCGCTCCAGCCATCCACATCCTTGGCCATTTGAGTCCCCGTAATACCCTGAGAGACACAAAGGCAAGGATGCGGAGGCACGGAGAGACCCAGGTCCTTGCTGCAGTGCATTCCCCTGCACCTGCTCTCAGCCTTGAGCTGAGCTGGGACACAGGCCTCCGGAGTACCTGCCCCTGCCCTTGGTGATTTGGGACAAGCACCCAGGCCCCTGGTCCTTGGGGTCCCTCTCTGGGAAATGAGTGCTAAAGGTCCCCCCGGTCCATCTGCCAGTACCCCTGGACAAGCTCTGCTTCCCCAGCCAGTACCTGTGAGGTCACTGAATGCAGTCACCCCAAACTCGGCTGTGCCCAAGTCCTCCTCCTGCAGCCGCTGAGCGTGGGCCAGGTTTCGGGCAAAGATATCCAAGCGGTGAGCATACTCTGGACCAAAGACAGGTCTTCCTAGGCTGGCTCCCAAGCCGTGGGGGCAGGAAGTGGCCACCTGCCGGGTGTCCTCCCACCCACCCTCACCCAGATGAGCACTGGCTTCTTTCCTGTGGCCCCTGCCAGCCCCGCTGCAGATCATCTGGGCCGAGAAAGTGGCTCCCAGCCCACTAGGGTGGTTTTCCCAGGAGACGGGAAGGGGACACACTGCCCACCTGGGGGGAGCCAAGTAGAGGGTCTGAAGGCAGAGTGATTCAGAGAAAGGTGGGTGGATGGGGCCGGGCTTCCTGCCACCAGATCACCACCCTCACACTTCTGACCACAGGTGTGGGGCTGGAACGTGGCAGGGGTGGGGGAAGACGGGGTACAGGCCCATGACGGGCTGAAGGCACCCACAGACTATCCCCCTCAGGGAGAGGAGATCCAGAGGGGGGGCAGGAACAGAGCCAGCAACGCGGTGGAGAGGGAGTCCCAACTTGAGGACAAAGGGGGCGTCTAGGTGTTTGCTGAAGGAACCCGTGACTAGATGGTGGTTTCCTGCTCGCTGCCAGGAGGTGCAGGAAAGTGGCTGTGGAGCTGAAGGGTCCTCTGGGCAGACCCCCAACTGCCACCACCTCCCTCCAGGTTCATAGCAAAGAACGACCGTGTTCAGTGCATAGGATGACGTGCTTTCAGGCAACGGGGTTCACCTCGAGCCCACTGCCCACCCTGAGCCTGATTTCATCATCGATTGAATGGGAGGAGTGGGGTTGGACCAGAGACCAAGGGGTCCCATGATACCTGCTGGGTTCGAGTAACTTCGGTTATACTGGATCTGGAACAGAGTGAAGACCTCTTTCAGCTCCAGCGGCCCTGCACCTGGGTTCTGGAAGGGACCAAGGGTGGTGGGGGAGGGGGTTGGATGAGGAGTCCTTGCTGGGACTGAGCTAGGGCAGTGGTTGGCAAACTCATTAGTCAATAGAACCAAATATCAACAGTACAATGATAGAAATTTCTTTTGAGAGCCAAATTTTTTAAACTTAAACTATATAGGTAGGTACATTGTTATTAACTTAATTAGGGTACTCCTAAGGTTTAAGAAGAGCCACACTCAAGGGGCCAAAGAGCCGCATGTGGCTCCCGAGCTGCAGTTTGCCAACCACAGACTAGGAGCTCAGTCAGTCAGTCTGTTCTATCTCCCTGGGTGAGCTTTGGCATATCAATCACCTCTCCAGCCTCAGTTGCTCCCTCTGAGAAATGGGAACAAGTCAGTTGTTTCTGAAGGGGTGAGCCCCATACATGGAGCTTGCAGAAGGAAGGGTTTGGGGAGCAGGTTGCGGGCACTTACCTGGACTCTGAGGGAGTCCTCGATGCCTTGGGCTAGACCTGCCACCAACAGGACCAGGAAGCAGGAGAGATGGACAGTTCGTGCCATGCTGCTGCCGACCAGAGTGCTGGGGACAGGAAACTAAGACCAGGCTGGAGGTGCTGAGAGGGCGGAGCTGGAGAAACCACTGAGGGGAAACCAGGCTGGGAGGGGGAGGTGGACCCCGCAAGCGAGAGGCTTTCAGGCTTTTATCTCTACAAGGCCTTCTACCTGTCTACTCACACCCCCTTTTCTTTTCTTTTTTAATTTTTTAAAATATATTTTTATTGGTTTTAGAGAGGAAGGGACGGGGAAAGAGAGAAACATCAACAATGAGAGAGCAACATTGATAGGCTGCCTCCGCACACTCCCTATTGGGGATTGAGCCTGCAACCCAGGCATGTGCCCTTGATCAGAATCGAACCCAGGACCCTTCAGTCCGAAGGGCAATGCTCTATCCACTGAGCCAAACCAGCTAGGGCACACTTTTTCCTTATTCCACAGCGGCTCTCAGCCCACCCTGTTTGGGGCAGTTCTTTTTTTTGGGGGGGGGGCAGTTCTTAGATGCATCTGTCCCTAAGGAGACAGGTTGTGAGAGGGCAGTGACATAAAGCCATCAGCACTGTGAAGGGTAAGCCCAGGGGACTATGGGAGCCACAGGCCCCTGACAACTGGGTGTGGAGAGAGGGTGGTCAGTGCCCCTGGGAAAACACTTGCTCATCCTACAAAGCTTTGTCAGCTCAAGTGTCACCTCCAAGAAACCTTCCCTGCTCTCATCCTCTGATGTAACTTACAGCCCCTTGAGCCCCTGCCCTGCCTGAGCCCACTTGCATCTTCCTTCCAACTGCACCAGAGGTGTCAGACGCCTGTGTCCACAGTGCCCAGGATGTGGCTTGGCTCGGAGCAGACTGGGTGGGTGTTGTTGACTGAACCATTTGTTGTCATGTTGTTGTTTCCCATGGGTTTTTTTTTTAAATATATTTTATTGATTTTTTACAGAGAGGAAGGGAGAGAGATAGTTAGAAACATCGATGAGAGAGAAACACCGATCAGTTGCCTCCTGCACTCTCCCCACTGGGGATGTGCCCGCAACTCAGGTACATGCCCTTGGCCGGAATTGAACCCGGGACCTTTCAGTCCGCAGGCCGACGCTCTATCCACTGAGCCAAACTGGTTTCGGCTCCCATGGGTTTTAAACAGGAAAGCGCAAGTGGCAGGAGCGTGTCCAGGGGACAGCAAATAGCAGCTCCTGCCTCCTTTTGTTCATTCCTGTCACCATCTGAGGGGGTGTGGGAGCAGGAAGACAGCAGGGTTGGCATCTCAGACAGAGCGAGGCCAACCTGTGAAGTCAAGTGCGGGGCGGGGGGGCGGGCGGGCTGTGACACCGGTCACTGCTGCCTCGGTTTGAAGCGGTCCTCCGGCTGGGGCTCTCCCCCATGAGCCTCCAGGCAGGAAAGCAGTGCCAAGGCCAGAGATGGGGGGAGAACTGGTTTTCTGAGGATTGATACCCCCGAAAGGGAGTATCTGAGAGGGAGCAGGAGGAGGGCTCTGGTCCTGGGGTTCATTTATGTGTGTGCCTCACTACCTCATTTTTTCATTCATTAGGAACCTGCCCCATGTTGCTGCACCACCCTCACTCCCACTCCAGACAATAAGTCAAGGGACTACTCTATTGGGGGAAAAAGAGCCATGCTGTCTTTATTAAAATTCAGTAGACAGACCATCCACAGAGGGGCACCTGGCTGCGTGGTTGTTAGACCCCTTCACATACCCCAAGCTAGTCTTGGATTGTGTGTGACCTATGACTAAGGCCCCATGTGTCAGCCTCAGGGCTAGAGGTCCCAGTGTGGGCATAAAAGGGGATGAAATAAAATCCGTCTCTGTGGTGGTGGGGGTTGTGGAAACTTGGGGGAGGAGAGACTGGGGGTGTGGAGCTGGGTGACCTTCCTCATTGATCCACTTTTTCCCTCCATTGAATGTGAGCCCCACGAGGCCAGATTTTAGTCATTTTTGATTGGTGCTGTGTCTCTGGTACCTAACACAGAGCCTGGTCAATGGTGGCCACACTGAACATTTGTTGAATGAATGAATGAATGAGTGAGTGAATGAACGAACTTCCCCACTCACTCACTTGCACTCATCCTGCAGCTCCTGGCTGGCAGCCAGTGAGGGCTGGGCCAGGGGCCCAGGGCCCTCAAGGCTCACTGCCTGGGAGGAACTCCTGACATCAACCAAGATGAGGCTCTGGGCCCCAGTGCCAAAGGGCTGAAGGCGGGAAAGTTGTTTGGGTCATAGAGGTCAGGAGACAACTCTGAGTGGCAAGTGCACTCAGGCCTAATAGTGCAGATGGAGGCTTGGGTCCAAGTTCGAGACGTCAACTGTGCAGCCAGCCATTCCCCTCTGGGCCTCTGTTCCTCATCTCCAAGTGGCAGTGACGGTTCCTTTGTCTGACTGACACCGTGGAGCACCTTCCACCCTGGCTGGCACAGAGCAGGAGTTCAAATGGTCGCTCCTTCATGCTCTACTGTGGGGCAAGGAGCCCAGAGTCTTGTTTCTTTTTTGTTTGTTTTTCACTTTTTGGTTTGTTGTTTTTACGTTTTGTTAGAGCCCAGAGAGTCTTGGAGTCAGAAGGACTTGTGTTCCAGCCGAAACCGGTTTGGCTCAGTGGATAGAGCGCCGGCCTGCGGACTGAAAGGTCCCAGGTTCGATTCCGGTCAAGGGCATGTACCTTGGTTGCGGGCACATCCCCAGTGGGGAGTGTGCAGGAGGCAGCTGGTCGATGTTTCTCTCTCATCGATGTTTCTAACTCTCTATATCTCTCCTTTCCTCTCTGTAAAAACTCAATAAAATATATTAAAAAAAATAGTAAAAAAAAAAAAAAAAAAGAAGGACTTGTGTTCCAGTCCTGTCCTTAGCACTCTGGCTGTGCCTGGACAGATCTTAGCCTCTCATCTGTGAGATGGGGTGATAATGGCGCCCCTTCCCTGGCTTGGCAGGAGGGTACATGCTGATACCTGGAATGGTTAGATCTTGATAATCAGTGCTAACATTTTATTATCATTTAAATAATGGCTTGCCCTAGCCGGTTTGGCTCAGTGGGTGGAGCATCAGCCTGCGGACTCAAGGGTACCGGGTTCGATTCCGGTCAGGGGCAAGTACCTTGGTTGCAGGCACATCCCCAGTAGAGGGCGTGCAGGAAGCAGCTGGTCGATGTTTCTCTCTCATCGATATTTCTAACTCTATCCCTCTGCCTTCTTCTCTGTAAAAAAATCAATAAAATATATTTAAAAATATAATGGCTCCATTGAGGTATGTAATTCACATACCATAAAATTTACCCTTGTAAATTATACAATTCAGTGGTTTTTAGTGTATCTATATAATTGTGTGGTCAACACCACTATCTAATTTCGGAGCATTCTCATCATCCCAAAGGAAACCATAAGTATTAGCAGTCATTCCCCGTTACCTCTCCCCCCTGGCAAACACTCATCTAGTTTGTCTCTCAGATTTGCCTATTCTGGCTGTCACGTCAACAGAACGTGTCTTCTTTCTCCTAGTATAGTATTTTCAGGATTTGTCCATGTGGCAGCACATATCAGTTTTCTTTTTTTTTTTAATATATTTTATTGATTTTTTACAGAGAGGAAGGGAGAGAGATAGAGAGTTAGAAACTTCGATGAGAGAGAAACATCGACCAGCTGCCTCCTGCACACTCCCCCACTGGGGATGTGCCTGCAACCCAGGTACATGCCGTTGACCGGAATCGAATCTGGGACCTTTCAGTCCACAGGCCGACGCTCTATCCACTGAGCCAAACCGGTTTCGGCCATATCAGTCTTCTTATTCCTTTTTATGACTGAATAATATTCTATCATTTTTTTATCCATTCATATACATTTTGTTTATCCATTTGTAAGTGGACGGAAATTAAACTGTTTCTACGTTTTAGTTCTTATGAATAGTGTTGCTATGAACAAGGTGTACAGATTTTTTGTGGACATGTTTCAGTTCCCCTGGGTATATTCCTAGGAGTGAAATTGCTGTGTCATGTAACATTTTGAGGACCTGCCATAATTTTTCCAAAGCTGGTGCCGCAATTTACATTCCCACCCACGTTGTATGAGGGTTCCAATTTCTCCATGTGCTCATCGACACTTGTTAATGTCTGTCTTTTGGGTTTTAAACAGCTATTATTTTTAGCCTCCTCACCCAAGCAGCTGGGAAGGATCTGGGGTGGGAGAGACACTGTCCAGTTCACCCTGCACCCAGGGCTCACCTCGGGACCCTTCCTGGTCACGTCCCTTCCGGGGCATACCCTTCCGGGCAGGGCTGCGTTCGGGGAGATCGCGAGGATAAAGTGGGGTGGCAAAGGGAAGGGAGGGCTCCGCAGTTCCCGCACGTGGTGTGCCCCGAGGCCGGGGATCCCTGGACACGCGGCCTTTCCCGTCTGGCTCCGCCCTCAGACGTGGGCAGGAGAGGCCCCGCCCCTTCCTGGGAGCCGGCCCCGCCCAGACCCCGCCCTCGAAGGCGCTCCCTCTGCTTGGAGCAGGGGGAGGAGGCGGAAACTTCGGACACACGGGTGGGAGGAGGACCGGGGAGACGCTGGCGCGAGACCCTGGCGTCCTGCGCGCCCGGGTTGGGTCCTGCCCGCCTTTCCAGGGGCTTCCATTCATTCTGGGCCAAGGGGAGCTGCGGCCCCCGCCCCCGACAGCCCTGGGGACCGAGGGGAGCGGGGCCGAGAGGAACGGTTCAGGGCCTGGGAGCGTCTCGCCCCGGGCGAGGGTTCGGGGCCCCGCAGAAGTTTTGGTGTTTCCAGATGGCCGTCCGGTTCGCAGAATAACAGAGGGTCTAGCTAGGCTGAGGCCTGGTCGTCCCAGGATGCAGTTAGGCGTAGGTGCCCAGGACGACATTCGGGGAGGCGCAGAGTCTGGGGCCCGACATGAAGGTGTGGGTGGGTGCCCAGGATGGAATTCTGGAGGCGCGGGTTAGGCAGGTCGGGTGCGCAGTATGACATGCTGGGGCGCACAAAGCGAGGGCCGGGGGCTCCCCGGGAGGCCCGGGGGC